TTTTTAAACTTGTCAGTCAGAAGTCGTTTTTCTGTGGGCTTTGCTATTTCATCGCTGACATTTAAGAATCTCAGCTTTTAATGTCATCAAATAGCTTGCTGTGGACCTGTAAGACACTGGAGAATTTCCTTTGGTGTTTGGAATTTGTCTGCCACAAAAGTCTCTCTTGCTGTTCTGATACCATTTTCAGGAAAACTGTTTCCATTGTTGGTCGGTGTCAGGAAATTGCCCGACTTGGAAATTCCATGCAAAGCAGGGCCTCTCTTAGAATGCATGGGGGATGTTTCCGCCATACTGGTCATAGTTTAAATGAGATGTCAGGTGCCCATCAAGTCCACCTTAGAATCTCTTGTCTCCACTGCTGGACCCTCCGATGTTGTCCATTGCCAGGTTCTGGGGATTGAGGATGAACAATACATACAAACCCTGCCTTCCGGAAACTTCCATTTGGGAGAGGAGAGGACAAGCAACCAACAAGTACACAAGGAGGCAAACCAGAACATTCCAGATCACAGAAAGTGCCTAGGATGAAAAACAGAGTGTGCTGAGATTGGGATGGCCACCGGGAGGCCTGTCTTCAATAGGGCCAGAACAGTGTTGTCTTTCAAGCTGCTGGGTAACTTCCTTCCATCCCAAGCCGCAGCGCCTAGTGGTTCCATCAAGCATCTCCATTCACAGTCCTGCTATGAACACTAGAAGTCCCAGAGTCTAGTGGCTGGGTCCTGCCTCATGGGAACCCTCCAAAGCCCTCTAATCATTCAGCCAAGAGGACAAGGCTTGAGCCACCACTTGCACCCAACACACCTCAAGGCCAAAGTCACAGGGCAAGACCCTCATCCTTCTCCGCCCAACAACCACTCTTTGGAGGTAACAACCACCGTTTTTCAAGTCGACTTTCTATTAGAGTGAAACACCATAACAGGAAAGCATCTGATAAATCTCCCTAGAATAAAAATGCCCACATAACCAGCAGTCAGATCAAGAAATAAAACATTATCAGCACCCCAGGACCTCCTTGCTCTCAGGAATTACCCCCTCCTGGAGGGTACCTGCTCCTCTCTTTGAGCACCATACATATTTGCCTGGAATAGCTTCATTTGTAAAAGACTTTACTACAGGGCCAGGGAGGTAGCTAGGTGGTAGAGCACTTTACCACTGAGCTACGTCCCCAGCCCTTGTTATTTTTTTAATTTTTAAAAAATATTTATTTATTTTTTAGTTGTACACAATACCTTTATTTTGTTTATTTGTTTTTATGTGGTGCTGAGGATCGAACCCAGGGCTTCACACATGCTAGGAAAACGCTCTACCGCTGAGCCACAACCCCAGCTCCTATTTTTTTAATTTTTGAGGCAGGGTTTTGCTAAGTTGCCTGTCTGGCCTCATACTTGCTGCAATCCTCCTGCCTCAGTCTCCTGAGTCATTGGAATTATAGGCCTACACCACCACGCCTAGCTATATCCACACTTGTAAAAGGGGAAGCTGAGGCTCAATGTCAGAGACTTGCTTAAGTTCACATCGTCCATAAATATGTTCACGGAGTGTCTGCAATGTGACAAGGGATGTTCCCCTGAGAAGCTGAAGACAAAAGTGGACAATGGCCAGACCCTCTGTAAAAACAGAACTCTGGCCCATTCTCTAGAGCAACCAGCCCTCCTCTAAGTTGGATTTGTCTCAAGCAAATAGTCCAGGAAGCCAAACACTCACCCTGTACAATTGGCTCCCAGTAGCCAGGACGTGGTTAATAACTGCCAGCTTCCCTAATTTTTGTCCCCCACTTCCAACTTAGAACCTACCAGAGAATGCCACTTTCGTTCGCCAGGACAATCTCCTAGGATGCCCCACTTCTAACGGATCACCTCCAACATGTTTATTCAGCCTCTTTTCACTATTTTCTATCAAAGCAACCAGCAAGAACATCTAAAGTATCTTGTTTAACCCATATGCTATTTTCACTTAACTGGGAAAATTGTATTAGACATATTGTGTGAGTGTGTGTGTGTGTGTGTGTGTGTGTGTGTGTGTGTGTGGTACCAGGGATTGAACCCAGGAGTTCTTAGCCACTAAGCCACATCCCAACCCTTTTTTATATTGTATCTAAAGACAGGGTCTCACTGGGTTGCTTAGGGAGGGGCCTCGCTACATTGCTGAGGCCAGCCTCAAATTTGCAGTCCTCCTGCCTCAGCCTTTCATTTTTTTTTTTACATTTTTATCTCTCTGGACAATTGTAAACACTTCCATGAGGAGTGTTTGGCCAGTTCCTATGACAACTTAATGTTAGGAAATTGAATTCAGATAACTTCTTTTGTTTTGGTTTTTGTTTAGGTGTTGGGAATCAACCCCTGGCTGGGACTCGCACACTAGGCAAGGCCTCTACCACTGAGCTCCATTCCCCACCCTGACCCACACCTAATTCAAAACTCTCAAAATTTATTTTCAGATTTTTTTAAGGACTGGGCAGGTTGATGCTGATTTTTAATAGGGTTTTAAAGTTCTTTTTACTATTTTTATTTATTCTCTGATCAAATAGTTACTGACCACCCCCTAAGGCCCCTCTCTAGTGTTCTGGAATTCTTTGCTTTTAAGCCACTTGGATGTTTCTGATTGCAATATGGGATATATTTCTACACCTAAAAAGAAAACACCTCAAATCCAGACTTTAAAAAGAAAATCTGGCCAGTTGCTATGGCTCATGCCTGTAATCTCAGTGACTTGGGAGGCTGAGGAAGGAGGATCGCAAATTGAGGCCAACCTCAGCAATTTAACAAGGCCCTGTCTCAAAATAAAATAAAAACAGGCAGGAGGTACGACTCAATGGTAGAACACCCCTGGGTTCAATCCCCAGTACAAAAAAAAAAAAAAAAATGTCCCAAATGGATGAACCTTGGGGACATGAAGCTAGCTGAAATAAGCCAGTCACAAAAGAAAAACATCACATGATTCCACCTAGATGAGAGACCGAGAGTAGTCAAACTCTTAGAAACAGAAAGTAGAATAGAGTTTGCCAGGGGGAGGGGAAGAGTGTAGAGTCTCAGTTTTGTAAAATGAAAGTTTTAGTGATCTATTGAGCAATAATTTGTACATGGTTAACACTATTGTAGTGTGTCGACAATTCAAAATGGTTAAGATGGGCTGGGCATGGTGGCACACTCCTGGAAACCCAGTACTCAGGAGACTGAGGCAGGAGGATCACAAGTTCGAGGCCAGCCTGGGCAACTTAGGAAGGCCCTGGCTCTAAATAAAAAATTAAAAAGGACAAGGGATGTATTTCAGTGGTTAAGCACCCCCTGGGTTGCATTGCCAGTCTCCCCACCTCCAGAAAAAAAAAAAAGAGAGAGGGCCAGGGTTGTAGCTCAGTGGTAGAGTGCTTGCCTAGCATACGTGATGCACTGGGTGATGCACTGGGTTTGATCCCCGGCACCGCATGAAAAAAATAAAAATAAATAAATAAAGGCATTGTGTCCATCTACAAACATATCAGGGAGACCTTGTCCCTAAATAAAATACAAAATAGGGCTGAAGGTATAGCTCAGTGGTGGAGGGGCCCCTGAGCTCAATCCCTGGTACCACCCAAAAAACAAACAAACAACTTGAGATCTCAAATCATAATATTGTTATCTACAAATATGAGTTTGGTTTGCTTTCCTTTGTTTTGTCTTTTGATTCTGTGCAGATTTTGCTGGGAAATGTCAAAGTCAAGACTTGTAGGAAAGTCACCTAACCAGTGAGTCTCCTTTGCTGGACAAGCCCGGTGTGTCCATTTGATAACACTGACTCTGAGTCTGTCCACCCTGGGCTGAGGTCAGCCTCCCACATCCACAGTTTCAGAAGCTAAAAATGGACCTGCCTCAAACGGCAGCCACTAAGATCTGGGGGACCTTTTCGGCTTACAGAGCACCCCAATGTATGCTTATCTCATTTCAGCACTGGCCCCTCCTTACCAGGCCTCCAGTATCTGCTCCACGTTTTGCCAAGCAGGTTTGTTTGCAGAATCGAAACCTTAGTTAAGTTTTGTTGAGTTTTTTTTTTTTTTTTAAACAGGCTGTTCCCAACCACATTCACTTGAGATATAAATAGAAGAAAAAAAAAGGAGGTTTAATTAGTAAAGTAAGACATTTGAGCTACATCTATTTGATCCTTAAGAAGGAAATCTAAGAGGTTGTAACTATCACTTTTTCAATCCTATATAAGGTAGGTCAGTAAGGTAGCAAAAACACATCTATGTTTTGCTCCTTGAACTTTTTCTCCCCTGATTCTTCTTAGGGGAAAATCTAAAACGGTGAGTAGCTATGGACGTACCAGACCCCAAGCTCTTCTTTCCTTCATGCATTCATATTAGGTTTATGCATGCTGTGCTCAGATTTTTCTCTTCCCATGACTTGGCACTTGGAAGGATTTTGATCTCTAGTAGACGGGCTTTTCATCCATCTAATTCCCATCCTTGAAGAAAGATAGCATGTCTTCCCCAGAAGATCTGCAAGCAGCTCAGGCTGTATGGGGGCCCATGTGGAATTTGCAACAATGCAATTCTCTGGCTGATGTATGAAAATGCTATTGCATTTGCAATGTGGTTTATTTTTGAATGATTTGCAGCCACCTATGTAAATGATTATGTAAATACAATTTTATAAGAAAACTGAATCAAATAGTTCTTTAGGTCATATATTTTTATTTCTTCTTTGGAGTGTATTCAGGAGATGGTGCTGAGACAAAGGGAGCTGGGATCTTTCCCATATCTGGTTTTTGTTTGGATATTCTTTCCCCTCATCCTTATTGCATTTTAAAAATTCCATACAGGGGCTGAGGATGTAGCTCAGCGGTGCAGCACTTGCCTAGCATGTGCAAAGCCCAGAGTTCAATCCCCAGCCCTGCAAAATAATTTTAAGAGGAGAATAAAATTTCTAGACAAATATACAGCTTCGGTGAGCCCAGGAGGGTACCTACCCTTCACCTGGATGTGCCTGTTCATCCTTGCTATTTATCACATCTCCTTCATTTTGTGTGACTAGGTGGAAAATGAGCATCACAGATGTGCTTAGTGCTGATGACATCGCTGCTGCCCTGCAGGAATGCCAAGGTAAGGGTGTGTACGGCAGGTGCAGGCTGTCCCCCCATAGTCCCACCTCCAGCCAAGCAACAAAAATCAAAATGTGACCCTTGCTGGAAGACTCATGGAATCAGATAATGAAAATGCTATACATTAGATATAGGAATCTGGGATCTAAGCCTGTGATGGCACTTCCATAAGATGAAAGAATCATGAAAGGGGCCTTGGAGGTGGAGGCAGGGGTCAGTGGATGCGATTCAGCCTGTTTGCATTTCAGTGATGTTGGGGGCTTGGAAATACAATCCTTTGAGTGGGAGGGAGTTTGGGGGCAGGCACAGAGCAGAGAAGGGACAGGGAGATGGGATGAAATCAAGAGCAAAGATCTGGAGCTGGGGGCTAGGTGGTAAAGTGCTTTCAGAGCATGCATGAGGCCCTGGCTTCAATCAAAAACAAATAACCCTGTAATCCCAGTCACTAGGAAGGCTAATGCAGGAGGATCTCAAGTTCAAAGCCAGCCTCAGCAATTTAGCAAGGCTCTAAGCAATTTAGTGAGACCCTGAACCACCAGGCTTAGAGAATCCTTGTGGATCAGCACCTTGGCCCAGATACGGAATGGACTCCAATGAGCATCAGAATAACCCATTTTCTGTTCTTTAGACCCAGATACTTTTGAACCCCAAAAATTCTTCCAGACATCAGGCCTCTCCAAGATGTCAGCCAGTCAGGTGAAGGATGTTTTCCGATTCATAGACAATGATCAGAGTGGATATCTGGATGAAGAAGAGCTTAAGTAAGCTGTGTCCTGAGTATCCCCAGGATTGCTAGGTGGGGCTGGTGTGCAGGGGGCCCAGTTTGCTTGGTATTTCTGAATGGCCAGGCTTGGCATTGGGCATCCATTTGACTGAGACTCATCAAAGCCAAGTCAGAAGGCCGCACTTCTATGCATGCAAAGCAGTAAACTTAGGCACTGAAAACCATAGCTGCAAAGATTTCTTAGTCTAAGAGATTTCCTTTGCAAATGGAATTGACAAAACTCTTAAAAATAAAATATCTACCATTGATTTGCTTGAATCCACGAAGCAAATAAAATTTATCCTTTGGTTCAGGGATATTATGAAAGTACTTTTTAAAACCTGTGTTTTCAGCATATTAGTCCTTTGCTTTCTAAGACCTTGACTGATCATTGAAATTACTAGAAACAAAAGGTTGGTTTAAAGAAAAAAAAGGTCTGGGTGTGGTGGTGCACACCTATAATCCCAACCTCAGGAGGCTGAGGCAGGAGGATTGCCAGCCTCAGTAACTTAGTGAACTGATGTTTCAATCCCCAGTACAGGGGTAGGGGGAGGAGAAGAAAAGAAAGAATGGAAGGGAGGGAGGGAGGGAGGAAGGCAGAGAGAGACACAGAGCAAGAGAAAGGGAAGAAGGAAGGGTGAAAGGAAAGAGGGAAAGAGAGACACAGGTTCTTTTAGAAAATTCCCACCAATCTTTATTATCCTATAGGTTTTTCCTCCAGAAGTTTGAGAGTGGTGCTAGAGAACTGACCGAGTCAGAAACCAAGTCCTTGATGGCCGCTGCAGATAATGATGGAGATGGAAAAATTGGGGCTGATGGTACGTCCACATCCGTGCGTAGCATGAACATGTTAGCTTGGGGAGTATCGGCAGGGGCTTGGCCGCTGACATCAAAGAGATGGAGGCTTTGAATCCCCCTTTCTTAACCTTGCTAAACCTCAACCTTCTCATCTGTAAAATGGGACTAAAAAGCAAGGCTGCCAATGTTGTGTGTAAAAATTCTGTCATTACTGGAGATGTTGCTCAGGGGGCCCTGGGTTCATTCCTCAGCACCAGACAGACAGAAACACACACACACACATACACACACACACACACACACACACACACA